GGACCGCCCCCTGGGCCTGCACCTGGCTCGAGAAACCCTCGGGGGGTTCCACGTCGCTCACCTACAGCCCTTGCACCCGGCCCCTTACCTGGCATTGACGATGTTCCCGGCACTCAATTCCACCATCTCTTCGAACCCCACGGCAAATATGTCAGCTGGGCTGCTGTCATCTGGGCGACAAAGCAGGAGACGAAGGAAATCAGACCCGCCAAGGCCCGCCTTTGCTGACCGGTGGGGCCCACATCTGCCTGTGGGCCAGGTGTCTCTGTGGCCAGATGCGCTCATCCAGACCACCAGGCAGAGCCCCATGCGGGGCTCCACCCCCCGTCTTCCGCCATGCACACGGCCTTTCCCTGTCTACAACCTGGGGCGCGTGACTGACCTCTCCAAACCCCTATTCCCTTCTCTGTGCAAGGGACAGTGATCGCCACCTCACAGGGTCACCGTGAAGTATCGGTTGGAGGCCACACGTGAAGTCCCTGCCCCCAGCATCTGGCGTGTAGTGAGCGCAATCCTGCCCGCCCGCTTCCTTCTCGATGACTTCCACGTGCATCAGACCCGTCTGCCAGCCAGACCCTAAGCTGCCGGGCGCAGGGCTGTCTCATACTCGTTTGTGTCCACAAGTACTTCAGACAGTGCTGGACCCAGATAGTGACCCCTGTCCCAGGGCTGGCACCCTGGTGGCCAGAGAAGGGAACACCCAGCCCAGCTCAAGGGGGTGGCCACTGTCCCCTGGGGCCTGCCCTGAGGAAATCTGCTCCAGAAACGCCTGGTTTATGGGAAGCGGGGAGCCGAGAGGCGATACTCCTCCGTCCGCTCTGTGCTCCCTTTAATGAGGAAGCTTCGGGTTTAACACAATCTCTAGGGTTGTGTCCTTGGTCCTTGTCCTTCTGACACCCAGCGGCCTGAGCCATCCAGCCCAACACGCTTCCGCCCTCTGCAGCAGCTGACACCCTCCGTCCCTGACTCCATCAGAAAGGCCAGGCTACCCACTTTCCTGCTGGCCACACAGGGAAGCCTGGGACCTCAAGCTCAACTGGCTTAGAGTTGCTTTTCTTTTCCTCAAAGAGGAAAATGCTCCTCCCCTGCTATGCTGGGCGACAGTGACAACTCCTTCCCTCTCCTGGACGCGGTTAAGTTTCAGTGGAAGCCCCGGTAAGCGCGCTATCCCAATAAAATCCCCTACAAAGTTAAGAGCCAGCTTGCCAGGGAAACCTGCCCCGTTCCCGCAAGCAAATGACAAGGACCTGTTTTAGAAAAAGGGGGAGGCAGTTTCTTTGGCCCAGGCTGATGTTCTCTGCACTTACAGGGCCGGTCCTGAGGGCGCTCGCGATGGCCACCATGGACACGAGAATCCCAGTGGCCGCGAACTCTGGCCTCTGAGACGGCAAGAAGGCACAGACTGTGCGTGCCACCACAGGGGCCAGGCTGTGGGGGACCCACCACCCGGGGCAGCTGCTGAGTGGGAGGCCCCTGCACATCCACAGGCAGAGAACTGGAGGGCCGGTTTCTTCCAGAATCCAAGGAAGCCGGAAAAAGCAAGGCCCCTCGGAAAATGCTGACTGCAGACAAATCATTTATGCTTCAAACCCTGAGTTCTGAGGCCACTAGCTACTACCTCACATGATCCAAGACAAAAGGCAAGGTGTCAAAATTGGACGTATTTCATTCTTAAGAGGTATACACAAATTCTTCCGTGACCACTTAGAGTGGAAGCCTGCAGTTACATGGTTGGTTTGGGAAAAGGTGACACGAATCATGAGTCTGGCTGCTGGCAGTCGCGTACCGCCAGAAGCCGCCTTGCCCCCACTCTCACGACACGAAGGTTCTCGTGGTTAAAACCAGCAGAATGTATGTGCCAAGAGCGTAAAACTCAAGACGACCGAGTCTTGCACTGTTAGGACTCAAATGTGCTTTGGACAAAAGCATGGTTTTCGTTTTTCTGTTTGTTTTTACCGCCTACGGCACCTGGTCTTCCTAGGTGGTCTCCCATCCAAGGACTAACCAGGCCCGACCCTCTTAGCTTCCCAGATCAGTCGGGATGGGGCGTGTTCAGGGTGGCATGGCCGCAGACTTGACCCGCTGGTTTTCTTTCCCCACTCCACACGCTTGGATTAGAAAATCGGAAAACGCACGTAAGGAAATGCAGGTCACTAAGGACGCTGAGGAACCGTGTGGGGGCGGGGCACGGAACCCTCCAGAGCTGGACACCTGCTTTGCCTCCACCGCACCGGCCCATTTCTCCCCGCAATGCCGGGTCCCCGAGGACGAGGACCCTCCTCTGCTCGTGCCCCCAGCGCCTGCCCACGTTAGCAGCGCAGAGAGCCACGCGCGGGGCTGGCCGGACAGGGAGGCCAGCGCT